CATTCTGAAAATGTCAGAACGCTCAAACCACATGTGATTTGTATCTTTGCCGTGATCCATTAGGTTGTCATTATTGTATAATGAAATGCTAATGCATTCAGGCATTCAGCAAAGCATTTTAAGAGCACTTATAGAGCTATAACATATATTATTGGTTTATGGCATCATTTATTTGCTTATGCTAGTTTGCATATCTATTCTGTTCAGTTGCCTCTCTCGGGTTGCTGGGTCTGGCAGTAGAAAGAACAGTCGATGATTCCCTGCAGTGTATCAGTGAGAGGATGGGTGGGTCATCTCTGCAGAGGGCTGCAGGTGGCAGAATGAGTCAAGCTGAACAGAATGCAGAGAGAAAGAGAGGGATGGGGGTTCTGGATGGCTTGCTAGTGCCCTCTGTTGGTTGCAGAACTGGTGATGGCTTCCAGAGCTGTGTGGGGTCTTTACTATGAAGTGTTTATTTCCTACCTCAGCCAGCAGAGGTCTTACACAGTCCTTTTCAAGCATCCTCTGTGCCCAATCCTTTCATACCCTCTCTTTTTCTCTATTTTTTACTGTCACTTTGTGTTACACACAACATGCCTTCTGCTCCCATAATGTTTTGCCTCCCATTTCTTTGACGACGTGCAGTCCTTTTACATATTTCTTCCTCTGTCTTCTCACATCAATGCGTCATGAAATAATTTCAGGAATATCTAGGAATTTTGCAAGTCTCTTTTGCAACACTGATTAAGCAAACAAACAAAGAAAGTAACAAAGAATAAAATCAATAATTTATTTTCAATAAAATATCTAAAACAAATCCTTTAAACAAGAGTCATTTACTTTACAATTTACAAGATTCATTTACTAAAAGACAGCGAATAAAATACTGACTTGTTTCGATGTATCTTAAGTGTATTCTGTCTCACTCTTCAGCAGATTGTTTTACTTGTTTTGACCGTTTATTCTGTTTATTTTAAACTGTCAAATATATAAGCTAAAAAAGTTTAGTAAGAAAAGCATTTGCATTAAAGACCCACTACCAGTATGGGGTCAGTATGATTGAAAAAGGAAAGAAAATCAGCAATGTGACTTAAGATATTACCTTGTACATGTAATGATATTAAGACATTGTCATGACCGGCCTTGACATTCACTTTTTAACACGGGACATTGTGGCTAGTGGTTTTCCAAAGTTACTAGCCACTCAGCATTTTCACTGGCTATAATTTTGACATCGATACCATATACGGAAAAACTGCCCTATAGATATTTTTAATATTATCTAAAAATTCGGCAGCCAGTATATTAGGCTGCTGTCACTTTAGAAGAGTGCTTCCACTCTTTGGAAGAGTTTCAAATATTTCAGTATTGATATGTATCAAACAAATGAATGTTTTTTGCTTTATGGGTTAACTCAACTGTCAGGTGGTTGGTTTTGACATTGGCTGTCATGAGGTCATTAACATTTTAATGACAAATTCAATTTGCACCACTGTAGTTGAGGTCAAGAAAAATATTCATGACACAGTTGTAATGGCCTCATGACAGCCAATGTCTAAACCAACCACATGGCAGTTTTATGTAATGTTAAACCATAAAGCTAAGTTGTTTAAGTTTGATAATTCATAGAATGATCATGTGACACTGAAGTAATGATCCTGAAAATTCATTTTTAAATATATTAAAATAGAAAACACTTATTTTAAATTATAAAAAAAGATTTCACAATATTTAGTACGGTTTTTGCATTTACATGTTTTGTATGTTCTCTGAAAAATAACCTTAATGTCTTAAACGGTGTTACTTCTTAATTAGTAAAAATAGCATATTTATATAGACCAACATACTCTGTGCCTGTGTAACTTGAGACTATGTTGTCCATTCTGGGAGTTTCATAGCTATATATTCAGTAGTGCAAAGAAATATATGGCTCTAAATTTACTATTCGGTTCTATGACCTACATCAACTCCAAATATAGGCTAGAACTGGCAGAGTAGAAAGAAAGAATTAGAGAAGACGACATGCATGCAAAGAGAGTGGAAAAGAGAGATGGAGAGGTTTTTTAGTGCACACTGCGGTGAGTGGTGTGACTCTGGATGCCCTTGCTGAGGGCACTGTTGGTGCAGGCTGTCTGTGCGGTGTCTCTCAGATGGGTGCATCTCTTAAAATATGGCACACTTATGTAAGTAGGGTCAGGGGAGGAGCAGTACCACTTGTAAATGGGTCTCTACCATGCCAAAGACCAAAGGTCACAAGTCAAAGCTCAACACACTGTAATATCCTTCAGTTTTCATCTGTTTAGCTTGTCTTTGTAACCACAAATGACAACAGTGTAGCTTTATGTATATATATATATATATTATATTAATGAAAAATTTAACAGGTGTTCCTAATAATCCTTTAGGTGAGTGTGTGTATATATATATATATATATATGTATGTGTGTGTGTGTGTGTGTGTGTGTGTGTGTTTGATTCCATAATAATATAAATTGTTGATTTTTTTTTTTATTCGTTTATTTTCTTGATTCTCTTTAGACATTATAGCCAGCTAAATGTTGTCAATTAAAGATAAAGGGAGGCAATTCAGCTCTATATTTCACAAAAAATAATAATAATTAAAAAAAAAATCATCCTGTTTTCTTAGGTTTCCATTTACATCTTAATCAGTCTCCCACTGCAATTAGTCTGATGCTCTCTAGCGTGATTAGCCTATCACAAATATACAACACTTAGTCTAGCAATGTTTGAAAAATTGACTGTTATTCTTAAATAGGAGCTTTGTTTTGGGGATGTCAATTGGCAGTATTATACTCATACCATTTTCTCTATCATTCACAACTTAACACACTCAGTTCCTCAAGGCTACTACTCACTTCTGCAAATGTCAAGACAGTCTTGTTATTGCACACTGACAGTGAAAGTACATGCATGCATGATGAGGCCTGTAGGTTTTCTGAAGCAGAGACCTTAATAGATCTAGAAGAACATGCACCAAAACAGTCAATTCCATCGTTAAAAGACTTAATTTTTTTTTTTTACCATATGTGCATTGTGTGTGTGTTCAGGAGAGACAGCAGGGGTGGTCAGAAACTAAATCTGGATTGTAGATATCTGAAAGTCAGAACTAAAGTAAACGTGTGGGTATCTGACCCAGTGGCTTACAGAGCGTTTTGTGCTGCCAAACATGTGGTATCACTCACAGTACTTTCCAAAAAGATCAAAACAATTACATTATGAAAACAAAGCTTAAACACTGCCTAGTGTTTTACATACACATACAGTTCAAACCTATAATCCCAAGCCTGTAAGACCTCCGTTTATTTTAGCTTTAGTCCGAGACCTTTCTGTCCCTCTATTGAAAATGTATACGTTTTACTGGCTTTGTCCAGAAAGGAAATAAAGACATCATCAAAGCAGTCCATGTGACAGCAGTGGGTTAGTGAGAATGTTCTGAAGCATCGAAATACATTTTGGTCCAAAAATAACAAAAACTACGACTTTATTCAGCATTGTATTCTCTTCCGGTTCTGTTGTCAAGCTGCGTTCAGTGACGCTGGTGACGTAAGACGCTGTTGACGTGTATCTGGTTTGTCCGTGTATTCGGGTTCAAATAAATATGGCTGGGCAAAAAATGCCTTCCTCTGGGTCGAAATCCTTAGACATGTTTACGAAGATTGTTTTGTTTACTGTAAATGAAGCTTGCGTGCACCAGATTACACGTCAGCAGCCAGCGTCTCACACTGAACGCGGCAGAAAACTCTCGGACTAAATCTAAAATATCTTAAACTGTGTTCCGAAGATGAACGGATGTCTTACGGGCTTTGGACGATATGAGGGTGATTCATTAATGACAAAATTAAAATTTCTGGGTGAACTAACCCTTTAAACTTGTTGTGACCTTTGAATGACCCCTCCCGTTTGACCTTTGACATGTGAATGGCCCATTTTATTCTTTAAATATATTGCACGACAAAATATCTTATAACAACTAAAATCTGATACAAATAAAAGTATTTGATTAGTATTTTTATTTAAAAATTAAACGAGTTTTCATCTTGAAGATTGTTTTCTATTGCCTTTTTTGGTGATGACATGAGTCGACCCTAATGCGACGGGTTTACGCTGACAGTCTGCCCTGGCTTAGTTTATGTCATCGGTTTCAGAGTGACACGCTCCCTCACTGTGGCGCATTTTGACGGATGCACAGAGATCGCGCCCCAGGCGCGCACGCCCGAATGACCTGGTCTGTCTGAAGTCAAAGCCACAGACGGGGAGAGGGAGGCGGGAAAAAAACGCATTCTGGGGCAAAGATAATTATAGCTTTTTATTATGGATATAAGTTATAATCAATATAGAATAAAGCTGTTTTGTATTTTCCCAAAACATTAGCAACATTTTTGTGACACAATTGAGCCGCTTGCTTATAATGAGGTTTGCCGTTCTTTGGCAGCGCTGACAACGATGATCATGTTTGAGAAGTCGCAGCCTGTCATGACAGTGCGCGAGATTGTGCGGGCTCTTTATATGACACAAACCTACGGATTAGGCTAACATAGTAAAAGTAGGGCACATTTATTTTTACTGTTAAATATTGTTAACATGCCAACTTTGATGACCACCACCTCGATACAGTGGGCTAACAGATACTTTGTTGCAATATTTAACAAATACATTTTATATGATAGATTTACCCATAGGGCCTACCGTGTAAAAAAACTCTTTAAATATAATTGTTACATCAATTAAATATAGTTGTATTTCATATATGGCTAGGTGTTTTTTATTTTAGTTTTTTAATGCTGCTTAAGATTTTAAACACATTTCCACTTTTTTATTTATTATAAGTGTACTAATTACAGTGTAGGGAAAGTATCACAGCCACTCATATTAAGAAGAACTTGCAGCAGAATCCAATTTCTCACAGAAAACTACTTCGAACGCATTTAATTTTGAGTGTTTTTCCTCATCTGACTGCCTTACATGATAACTGTCGTAGTTAAGGAAACGATATTAATATTTTCCAAGTACGTGTAGCTTTTTTTTTTCTTCAATTTGCCATAAACCTGATAGGCTAATTTGATGGCAATGCATAGGCTATATATTTTACTTTGTGGTGGCTTCCATCAAGCTGTTATTTCTTACAAGGTCTCGAATATCAGAATATATTTGAGTAGGCAGCCCCTCCCCCGGTGTGCCGCACCAACACCATCGAAATGAGCCATGAGGAAGAGGAGGAAAAGGAGTAGAATGGGAGGGGTGGCTTGAAGCGGAGGGAGAAAGAGAGAGAGAGGAGAGAGAGCGCGCACGGCGAAATATGCAGCACCAGTGGCAAGGAAACACACCCGTCAGCGGCGCGCAGAGGGAAAAAAAAGGATAAGCGCGGACAAAGGAAACATGGACGCATATGAGAAGTCTCCGTGCGCTTCTAGAATGGAATTGACAATTAGGCCATTGTGCACATAAATGAAAAACCTTTAATGCTGAAGTGGGAGGCAAGATATTGCAAACTGACAAGGCGGAGTGCTGTTTTAATCCGTCTGCGGATCCTATGATCTTGCGATGGCTGTTGCAGGGATATGTGATTGCCTAGATAAAAAAGTGCCTCTTTCTTTTTTGCTATTTTTATTATTTTGTGGCCTTGCTCTCGGACAAATACGATATTCCGTGCCAGAGGAATCGGATAGTGGGACGATTGTAGGTGATATTGCACAGGATTTGGGTTTGGATATTCGAAAGCTCTCCACCCGAAAGATTAAGGTAACCTCTGACAGCGGCAGAAGGTACGTGGACCATAAGAATGGAAAATTATTGGTAAACGAGAGAATTGACAGAGAGACATTGTGTGACTCGAGCACCGCGTGTGTTTTGAATCTTGAGGTTCTTCTAGAAAACCCATCTGAAGACCATAATGTCGAGGTGGAGATTACAGACGTGAATGATAATACGCCGCAGTTCCCCAGAGACGAGTATCAATTGGAAATCACTGAATCGGCTTTGCCGGGCTCTCGTTTTCCGATCGAACACGCGCAAGATCCGGACATTGGAACCAATTCGGTTCGATTGTACCGGCTCAGCCCAAACGAGCATTTTGCTCTCGATTCCAACAAGCCTTCATTGAATACTAAGCACATCGAGCTCGTTCTCAAAAAGCCCTTGGATCGCGAGCTCTCACCTTACCATCAGTTAATCCTGACAGCGACCGACGGTGGCACACCAGCACGAACAGGTACCGCAAAAATTAACGTTCGCGTCTTAGATTCGAATGACAACAATCCCGTTTTTGACAGCTCGGTATATAAAGTCAAATTGCTTGAAAATTCGCCCAAAGACACTTTGGTTATCAAACTGAATGCCACAGACCAAGACGAGGGAACAAATGGGGAGGTGTTTTATTCATTCAGCAGTTACACCCCAGATAGGTCAGGCAGATGTTCAGCATGGACACCAACACTGGAGAAATCAGAGTAAAGAGCAATGTGGACTACGAGGACACCACTTCGTATGAAATGTACATCCAGGCCATGGACAAAGGCCCAGCTCCAGTTGCAGCCCATTGCAAAGTGGTGGTGGAGGTTGTGGATGTCAATGACAATGTTCCAGAGATTGTGATCTCATCTTTGTCCAGTCCAGTGCGTGAAGATGCCCGTGCAGACACCGTGGTGGCCCTGATCAGCGTGACGGACCGGGACTCTGGCCCTAACAAACAGGTCACCCTTGAAATTCCACCTGGTCTTCCTTTCAAAATCAAGTCGTTTAGAAATTACTATACCTTGGTAACCTCAGCCTTTCTTGACCGTGAGAACACAGCAGCCTATAACGTCACCCTCAGCGCTACAGATGGCGGCAACCCTCCACTTTCATCGAAGAAGACCATTCAGGTGGATGTCGCTGATGTGAACGACAACCCTCCACGCTTTGACCAGACCTCCTACACTGTGTATGTCATGGAGAATAATGCACCCGGAGCCTCGCTCTGCACCATCAAGGCTCAGGACTCAGATGTCAATGAAAACGCTCGCATCACCTACACGGTCCTAAACGACAACAATCACGGGATCCTGGTCACCTCCTATGTGTCGGTTAAAGCGGACACTGGTGTTGCCTATGCTCTTCGCTCTTTTGACTACGAGTCATTACGGGAGTTTCACTTCCAGGTTAAAGCTCAGGATGGTGGTATCCCACCACTCAGTCGTGTAGCCACTGTCTACATCTACATAATGGATCAAAACGACCACCCGCCTGAGATTGTGAATCCCCCAGCCAACGGCACGCGCTCAACAGAGACGGTGTTGAAAAATGCAGAGCCAGGTACATTGATCTCAAAAGTGGTGGCCTATGATGCAGATGCAGGACAGAACGCGTGGGTCATCTATCTGCTGGACCAGGCCAGCGATCTGGATCTATTTAAAGTGCATGAACACACAGGAGAAATTCGTACAACGAGGCGTGTCCTTGAAGACAACTCCACCTCTTTTGGTCTAACCGTACTAGTAAGGGACCATGGCGAACCACCTCTATCATCCACCGCTACCATTAACATTGCTGTCATGGAGGTGCCACCCAAAGTCATGCCTGACCCCAAACGAATCATCCGCCCTCACAGCGCTCTCTTGTTTTCTAAAGTGACACTGTACCTCATCGTGGCCTTGAGCGCCACCACCTTTGTTTTTTTGGTGACTGTTGTTGTGCTGGCCATCGTGCGCTGCCATGCGTACTGCACCCAGCCAGGATCCTGTTCGCCATGCTGTGTGTCCCAGAAGGCCCAAGCAGAAGGTGGATCGGGAGGGGGCGGTGGAGGAGGCGGCGGCGGCGGTGGTGGTGGTGGTGGTGCTCAACCCAATAACAACGTGGTGCTCCGAAGAGACCTCAAGGTTGAGCCTCATTATATTGAGGTCCGGGGTAATGGGTCTCTGACCAAGACCTATTGCTACAAGACCTGTCTGACTGCCACGTCGGGCAGTGACACCTTCATGTTCTACAACACAGGCCGACCCATCAGTGGCACCTGGGGCTCCGAGCGCTTTTTTACAGGAGGGAGTGGATTTGTCCGCAGGCTTAGTATGCCAGATGCAGCAATACAGGTGTGTCCTATCACAAAGTTTATTTCTGTAATAAATCAATGAAAAATAGCCTGAAAAAAAACAAGCAGCTGTAGTTTCCATCATTCTGGGTAAAATTATGATGACAGAAACATAAATAAAATATAATCATGCAGGGAACTAAACATTAACACAGTATACCCCAACTCTGGTTTCCAGTATGTTTAATATGTTTTCGTGTAAAAAAAAAAACAATTTAGTCCAACCAGGAACTGCACTGAAGCTCTGTGTCCATGTGTCAGAAGCTTTTGACCTTGTCATCTCCTGTTGTACTGCGTGGTTATATAGCGCTGCTTTACAGTGCTTTGCTTCACCCTGCATTAGTGTCAAACATCAAGACTTTCTAGAGTAGCACACTGCATTTATGATGATTCAGGCATTCGCTTCCATGCTGGATGATGTCATCACATTTTCAAGATTATTTCCTTCCTCCCATTGCCACACCAGGTCATGTCACTGTCTTTATTCCAAGTTTGTGCTCGAATTTGAACATTAGTTTGTGTAAAATAAATTACAGTGAAGTAAATAATGGACTTATTTATACCAATTCCAAACATAAAAACCCTTACAGTTTATGCAGATAAACTGTGTTTTATGCCTGTGCAATGCATATGCTGTCATAGATATCCAATTGATGTGTGTAATGTGTAATTGGCGTGAATTCATGTTCACTCTGTCAGCCATGGATTCGTGAAATGTGTTTTAATTAGCCAGAACATGATCCAAAGGCTGTGTGGCCTTGATCTCTGCACGGGAGTGGATGTTGCACTTGCAGATGGTTTAAAAAAGGATGTAAAGGAAGACAAAAAATAGTCTAAAAATGTCTGCAGCTCAAGAGCTAGAGTTTATAGAGTGATGCTATTGACAGCGTAATATCCTCTCTCATGTGTTGGTGAGAGACACTGCAGCTCGTTTGACACTGCAGAGGATTTAGGAGCAGAGGCCGTCTGTCCGAGATAAGAGAGCAGGCTATGAAATTAACCTCCAGCTTTTGATTCTCAAGCCCTGCAAATTACATTGTGAGAGCGAGGCAGAGTCTCTTTGCACGCTCTCTCTCCCCCCTATGAATTCACCTGATTAAAGAATGTTATTTACTCAAATTATCTGGGCCAATCTCTAATGCCTCATCCCAATGGCGTATTCTACAACCCAGGTTTTTTTTTTAAGGATTTTACTAGGGCAAATATAAATGGCAACCACGTGCTTGTGCTCTCCCTCTGTGTAAAACCAATTCATTCACTTACAGTGGACTGCTGGAGAAACAGATGGATGTTTTTGAGGCTTTGTATGGTCATTGTGTGACCAGTGTTCAAATTGAGTTGCCCTAGTTGAGGGCAGGAAATGCTCTAGTATCATATTACATGGGGTCAGCTGGTATTCCAGGATGATATCATTCCTGCACCTTGGGGAATTGGGTGGATGTTGGGAGAAGAAATGCAGGAACTTTTTTTGAGCAGAAGATTGGGGTTATTTAAAAATGTGCGGTAATGGCTAGGGATGCACGATAATACAATTTTAGCTGATGTCAAATACATTTTTTCAGTGTTGCACCCGATATTTAAATTCTATAATATTTTGTAAAATACAAAAATGAATAGATTTAAAAGCTGCAAGTGAATCTAGTCAAACTAATTGGGGGTACGAAAGACGGTTATTCATTCAAGATTACATTTAACAGTGTTATTAAATGATTAAATATAAAATTGAATGAGCTCTAAATGATGGCAAAGACTGTCTAAATGAAAAAAAAATAGGCAAATATGATCATTGTTTGCAAAATGATGATATTTTAGTGTTATGGCTGATATTTGAATTCCTTAATATTTTGTAAAAAACAAACAAACAATAGATTTAAAAAACTGTAAAGTGAGTTTAGGCATAACATCATAATTGGATGTATGAAAGACAGACATTCACTCAAGAATAAATTCAATAGTGTATAACTAAATGATTAAATCTTAATTTTGAATGAGCTCTGGATGATGGCAAAGACTCTCTAGTCTAAATGCAAAAATGATCAATGAATTGTCCAATATCGACCAATGTCCATAAGTTAAAAATCACAAATATTGGCCATTAACCAATCTCGTGCATCCCTATATGGGTTGTGTTATTTGGTGAATGTTAAGTGTCCTTCATATGCTTTATTATGAAGCACTCTCTCCACATTCACACGATTATACAAGTGAGTCATGGACCATGTAATCGTCTCTCTAGTCCTGGTCTCCTTTAGCTGTGGTTCTTATTAAAATGCAAGACAAAAACACACACACTCAGAGCACCATGATTTATTGATGAGAATGTATCTAACCCTTTTCTGTCCTTCCACCCCTTCTTTCCATCTATTTCTCTTCATCTATCTCTCACCTTCTTTCCTTCTCTAGCCCAAAGGGCCAAATGCTGACTGGCGTTACTCTGCGTCGCTGAGGGCAGGAGTGCAGAGGTAAGCACTTTTGCTGTTAATAACGTCCTGAAAGAGTTACAGTCCTCTCTATACCGATAGGGAATGCACCTCATTTTCTGTAGCTAAATAATAATTAAATGTTAGGTTTTATTCTGTACTTTCATAGCACTAACTATTTTCTCAATTTATGAGAAAAGACCATAAGCCCAAGGTTTGGTAGCTGAGTCAATGTAAAAGCACCGTGAAACATGTCCAATTCTAATTTCCTCATTTCCTGACCCACAATAATCAAATTCTGACCCTTAATGTCATTATGCTGGAAACCATCTTGTTTGAACTTAATCTAATTGAAGTGAGAGCAGAAGCTATAAAGCACCCTCAATATATTATACATAATACAAAAAAAAAAAAAAAAGTTGAATTTTTCAGATTAAACCTCAAGAATAGTTATTTTACACTTTCAAAAAAATACCGATAATACTTTACAGCAAGGTTAGATTTATAACAGTAATTAATGTTTTGGGTACCATGAACTAACAATGAAACTAAATTTTACAGCATTTAATAATCTAGATTGATGTTTCATTTTTTAAATTTATGGTAACAATTTAGTTACACATCACTACATGTACTTTCTATGGTAATAATTAAATTATCCATAAATATATAACTAACCCTAAACCAAACCCTAACCATAACTCTATAGTAAGTACATGTAGTCAATTAATGGTTACAACATAACCTTTTAATGTCACCTCAAAATAAATTGTAACCAAATTGATAAATATGCTATATTGTTAATTGATTGATGTTCACTTGTAATACTTGTAATGACTAATGGTAATCCGTGTTGTTTTAATATTCTTTAAATAATATTATAGTATTTATTTATATTTTAAATGAGCTTTAAATTTTTTTTATATCAGTGTAAACTAAAGCTGAAAAAATACAAAACTTAATACAACGGCATACGCATAACAAAGTTGTTAGTGCTTAAGCATAGGTTGTGTCCATTTAAGTTAGCTGTAAAGTTAACAAAAGAAGATGGAATGAAGAATTACAGAGGACAGGGAGCATATTAGTAAAACACAAATAAGATTGTCAGTGCTGATGTTTGCTGATGGCTATAAAGAGCCACCAGAATCATGACCACCAGGAGATCTCTGACTTCTTCCTGACCTCTTGCCTCTTCCTCAGTGGACCAACTGTGCTCTGTCTGCCTTCATCACACACAGACACAAGCTTTGAAGCATTTGCTAAGGGCCTTTCCCTGGCATAGTGGCTCTGCAGTCTGATCTTGAGTATGTAGGTCATCAGCATTCTCCACAGCAGATGCACAGTCCTTACCAACCAAGCATAAAGGACAAGCTAGCAGATGAGCTGATTGTGTGAGCTTACCCACGCCCGATAAGCAGGCAATTCAAATCTCAGGGGGAGCATTTCAGTGCACAAATACTGACAAAATGAGTCATCTCTAAAATGCTAAATATTTATTCTCTCCCTAACTCTTCACACATACCCGCACACACACTTATATCCAGAGACAACCAGGCCCCCTCCCCTATCACCACACATATACAGTTTCCAAAGGGTGAAGGGCTGTCTGTTTTATGTGATAATGTTGTGCTACCCTGTGGGCTCATCTCCAGGGATTGTTTAGTCTGTGTGTGTTTTATGTGCTTGTCTGTGACTGAAGGCTGGTGGGAAAAAGGGGCACAGGAGACATTACACACAAGGGCTGACAAAAGCAAACCCATTATAATCAGTGATGCTGTCTACACTGGATGCAGTGCAGCACAACATAACAAATTCACAATGGTAAACCGTTGCCCCAATCTATTCCTGAATTACTAGTGTTATGCTATTTTGGATAAAAAGAAAAATGGATGGATGGACAATTTCTAGCTGTGTGTTGTGTCCGGTGTAGACACTGTGTGAGCCACTTTGAACACCAAATAAATATTGTACAACATTAAATACTAATGAATTACATTTAGACATACACCAATGAAAAAATTCTGTCAGATAAGCCAATTATTATGTAATGGGAGATTACGGAAAAAAAGTAGATATTAAAATCCCTTACTGTTTTGTCTAAAAAATTATTAAAAGCACTAATTATTAAAATCAATATTTTTATGCATAATTTGGGAATTTAGGTATCACAACGCACACACAGAATGGAAAAGGGTATATTCAATTTGAGATTTGCTAAATATTAGTGCATACAGTATTATTAAATGAATAGTGTTTTTAAAGATAAAGTAAGCATTAGATGGAAGTGAAGGTAATGTAGCATAAATGTAAGAATGGGAGAAATAAGCATGTGCTTTTTAAAAGGAATTAATACTTTTATTCAGTGAGGATGCAATCAAATATTCTTTAAAAGTGACTTTACATTTACATTGTAACAAAAAAAAAAATCCAAATTCCAAACGACTGCTGTTTCAATTCATCAAATAATTCTGAAAAAAACTTGCCATCACTGGAATAAATTAACTATATTTAAAATAGAAAACTGTTATTTTAAAATTTTAATATTATTTCACAATGGTACTGTTTTTACATTATTTTAGTCAAATAAATATGATCTTGATGAAAGTAATCAAATAAACACAACCCAAACTTTTAATCAATGAATGTAATTAAAGATGTGCAATATACATATCTATTTCAATTTAAACCTTTACTTGTAGCTTAATTTCAGTAGAGGATGTTTAAAGGTGTCTGTAAATTTCAAATTATTATTATTATATAGTAGATTTACATTATTTATTCATAACTTCCCTTTGACCCTGAGTTAGCCGAGAATTACGATGGTTTATTCCAGAATTGGAACTCTCTGTCATGCTTTCTCTTTGATTCGACTTATTCCGAACAGCTTTCCAGTGGCTTTAAATACACACCCCTCAATCGAAAAGCCTCTCCTTAGGCTAGAAAAGTTACTGATTCACTCTGCCTCAAGGCACAGGGTGCATTTCAGCTTTAAGGGAATTAGACAGATCCATCATGCTAACACACACACACACACACACACACACTGGATCAGAGTTATGGAAGCTGTATAGTGCCTGGGCACACCCTGTGCTGCATTGCAGATGCCCTGCTATACCCACTTCCTTTCTGCTCCTCATGTCTGTACATTCATAATGGATAGGAGTGCTGGCATAATTCACAGATCTGCTCTTTATGTGGGTGCTTGTCTGATCCTGGTTGCCATGGTTACAAACACACAGAGCCGCGCTAAAAGCAAAAGGCCATTGCTGAAAGTGTATATAGGTAATGAAAAGTCTCTTTAAAGCAATGCATACTCGCAACTCTAGGGTGCATCGCTGTATTTGTTGAAATTTTAAGTACGTTGTACATCTTCAGCTGTCTACCACAAGTTCCCAGGCTTATGTTATGCATGGCCTGCTGACAGACTGAGAATGAGAAATGAAGAGAGGAATGGAGGGAAGATAAAGATGGTAAAGAAACCAAACAATCTATTAGGGGAAATCAGATTATGAAATGGGCTCTTGTGAGAGAAGGGGAATGTTGAAAATGTAATACATTTTCTTTGCAATCCGTTTTTTTTCTCTCTGATGAACGCTTTTCCTTTATATCATGTTTCTTTCTACATTTCTCCAGTATTTCTTTATTCTGGACATTTCTGGACTGCACAACAATTATATTTGTCCAATTTGTCAGTTTCTTGAAACAAGATACATTTAACACTTCATAATATAGTAAGTTTATTTAATGCATGCTCATTTTAGCATTTGACAAGTTTTGTCACATTTTAAGCGTAATCATAAACAAATTAAAAACAAAAATGAAAAATGTGCCTGTTCTGGATAATTATTCAAATCAAAATATTATATTCAAAAGATTGTGGTCAGGTTTTTTATTTATTTATTTATTTTAAGGCTGTGCAAAGATTAATTGCATCCAAACTAAAGGTTTGTGTTTACATAATATATGTGTGTGTGCTGTGTATCTTTATTTTGTATATATAAATACATATGCATGCGTGTATATATTTAAGAATTATTTGCACATAAATACTGTATATATATATATATATATATATATATATATATATATATATATATATATATATATATTATATATGAATAACACATTTTCTTCAATATATACATGCATGTGTGTGTATTTATATGTACAAATTACAAAATAATTATACACCGCACACACAAATATATTATGTAAACACAAACTTTTATTTTGGTTGCGATTAATCACAATTTATCTTTGCACAGCCCTAATTTATTTATTTATTTTTTAAAATATATTTAAGAAATGTACTTTAATTTACTTTATTCAGCAATATGCATTAAATTGATCAAATGTGACAGTAACATTTATAATATTTTCACAAAAATAGTAAGCAGCACAGCTATTTTCAACATTGATATTAATAATAACTTTTTTATCGAGCATCAAATCATCATATTAGTATGATTGATCTGAAGGATCATGTGATGCTGAACACTATAACTGCATTTTAAGATATGCCTGTGCAAGTTGCTTTTAGTTAAAGCTCATATATGCATTTTAGTCTGGGACTAGTTTTAAGCCTTGACTGAGAAACCAAGGATTGTGTATTTCTGTGTAGACACTCTGTCTATGTATGTTCCAGTCAACATGTCTGAAGTAGCTAAAGCATCATGACAACCACCAAGACAGCTCACACACACACACACACCACCTCACGCACTGACACATTAGATCACAGATAGTCTAGCACACACTGTCACATGTACTTTCCCCATCACACGCACCTTCAGACCAAAGCTCAGAAAAATACACGCTAACACATCTGTCCCTGTTGCACACCTTATTTACTCTCACAGCCCAAAAGCGAAGCTGCATTTTATATTGAAATACATTTTACATTAGTTTTACTGAGCATTGTCTCTTGTTTTTTAAATAGCAGTCCAAAGAGGAACTGGATGTTTAAAAAATATATAAGACTAATAACATGTCAACTGGTTGTGTTTTTAGCTCTGTGCATATGGAGGAGGCTTCAGCTGTGATGCAGGGAGCACAAGGCATGCTGGTCCAGAACTGGCCCACGGTCTCCAGCGCTGCAGGTGAGGTCACATCTTAAAGACGTCTGCATTGCTAACTGAGTGTAATTAAATCTTAATCGTCTGAAACTGACGACTCCATCATCTTCTTGCAAGACTTCATGCTCTTGCTAATCTGGTAATTTTCTCTCGAGCAAAATTATCATGTTTATCAACCTATTACATCTGTTCAAATTAAAATGCCTAATGCATGTGGCATTTCTGGATGTCTTGTAATGAATCTTAGAATTGGTTACACTTTATTTCGATAGTCACTTTAGACGTTCTACTAATTATAAGTAACTTTTCAACTACATGTCAAGTAACTCTCATTAGAGTATTAGTATATTCTAGTAGACTGTCAGTAGACTGTTAGGTTATGGTTAGGTGTTAGGTTTTGGGTTAGGAGAATAAGTTTACTTGTAGTCGCCAAGTTACTTATAGTCAGTTGAATGGACCAACAAAATAAAGTGTTAGCAGATTTTAAGCTGACAGTCTACTAATACTCTAATGACAGTTTGTTGACATGTAGTTGAAAAGTTACTCATAGTTAGTAGAATGTCTAAAGTGGACTATCGAAATAAAGTGTTACCAAGAATCTGGGCCGGCCAAAACTTTTGACCCAAATTGAAGTTGATTCAATCTGACGTGGGCTCATGCATGTTTAAAACAAGCTGTTTAAAGCAGGTTAGACATTCATCCAAAAATGTCAGCTCTTTCTTTGCTCTTTTACTGTCCTGAAAGGTCTCCAATCCATGTACAGAGAGTGTTCTTTCCATTGTCACTCTTTATTGCAATACTGTTCCCAAGATCTAAAATGACAGGGAACAAGTCTGCAAGTCTGGCTTGAGCTTTAGCATTATTTTTTTCAGACATCTTGTGACAATTACTTACTGTGGTTCAGTGCGGTGCGTCATTCTTTTAGATATATTATTATATTCTTCTTAATTCCAAAGTTTATTGCTTTTTTTACATTTTCAACTAATGTTGCTGTTTGAGTGTGAAAGGTGCGCAAATGTACAAGTCCACTTCAGAGAGAGTTATTCTCTATAACATTAAGCGCTGTTTCTGAACTTCCTGATATTCTTCATTTGAGACTTCGCTAAGCCACGCTCGAAAACCGCCACTGGCCAGTCGTGTCTTAGCAACCGTAACTAGGCGTGGAAGGTCTGGCAAGCTTACGAGTCGGGGAAACATGTCGAAACATTGTGTGTATGGATTGTGCAAATCTGATGCCCGGTATCCTAAAAGTCTAAAAAGTCTAAAATCTAAAAGCCGAGGGGAGAAATGATGGGCGTGATCAAGCAGTGTGGGAGACCCATTCACAACTAAATCGACAGGATTAACAAAAACACCTATTGCTTGGAAATATTGACATAATGCATACTGTATATTTTAATGTAAAATAAGATGTTTAAAGACAAGACGGAGGCTCACTGACATACTTTAAAATATATTTCAGCATTTTGTTAATCGACGGCCTACTACCCCTAAGTAACTTTAACCCAATCCGATCGCGGCTCTCCTGGTGTTAGTGTTATTCCACAAGATTTATGGATGAGCTGTTTGATTTATAATTATTAGGATTATTTTCACATTTCACTTACCCTTGTGCACGAACATAGCTGCTCCTTAATTTTTGTGTTTCATATTTGAATGGTCAGCATACTGCTTGCGCTGGGACTATAGGCTTTAGCTTCAATTTTTAAGAAATTATTCTCTAATCGGTTGCGTATATGTCATGGATATATCCCACGATTAGAATACTGCAGTCCCTTTTGTCTTGCTCTCTCAGATATTTCACATGTTCGCCAAAAATGACTAATTATCTGATTGGGAATGTCTGACACCGGTGCATACACAGTGTAATAGATATGCTAGCCGCGAAAGCTTGACAGGCGTAACAAGAGTAACTAGGGAGGGCGGGGCTTAGTGAAGGGTCAATTGTAATCTTGAGTTTTCTTAAATAATTCCCTCTCAAGGGATTCACAAAAAAAGGCCTGGTTGCTTTAGTAGTAGGTTAAAACTCCGTTATGGTAAGGGGTGTGACATTTCCGAAACACGCTCAAACGGTTGACCAATCACAACACACCGGTCCAACCGACCAATCAGAGCTCATTGTGCTTTTCAGAAGGAGGGGCTTCATAGTGACCTGAACTAAACAAGTTACTGACAGACTGGGAAGAGAGGTGCTGCAATTATGTAAAATGTGTGTGAAAACAAGGTGTTTTTTTTGAACATTCAAGCTACATTCTAGTAAACCCCAAAAAAGGTATAATAGGTTCCCTTTAACAAATACTGATGGACCAAGACAAGTCCTCTGACAGGATTTCATTTGTAACACTTAATTAGGCAACATAATCATCAGTTGACACAATACACCAAATGTGGTTATTTTGAGTAAGAGCATGATGTGCCTTGGATGGCATCTTTCATCTACTCTACTGAAGTTCAGTACCAAAGGATCCAAATATTGTGATGCATGAAGCCTGTTATTGAATTTGCATTAGTGAGATATGCTTCTCCTCAAAGATGAGCCAGATAGACAGAGGACGATCAATCTAATGTGCCATTAGAGGAATGAAGGAAGTGTGGCTGGTCTCCTGGGGGGTGGATGGTGGAGATATTGACAGGCTGATAGAGCAGAGCTGGACTGGAATGACAGCAGACAGTGGGAAGAAATGGATAGAGTAAGTGGGACAGATCGAGAGAGACACACTTGACTTGAAAGAGAAAGAGAAAGAGAAAGGAGGAGAGGAGAAAGAGAAATACATTGATTCTTTACTAGCAGGCTGCAGAGAGGTTTGAAGTATGACCTATAAACTGTAAATCTGATAGACTTATGAAAACCAGTTTAGTTGTCCATTTAAAATTGGGTGTTGTAATTATAAGCAGGCTAATGTTGTGATACTGAACCAGTGCAGGTGTGTTGTGTAAGGGCTGGTTTAGTGCTTGTAAATTACAACACAGTTGAGGTCAGGGGAACAGGATGAACATAAAAAAGGGCAAGCAGAAAAATGAGTCACAGATTAATTTGATTTAAGATATATGAGGTTGCTATACCGAGAGTCATTTAAAAGATAAAGCATGTGGGATGCAGAGAGACAAGTAATAGAGGGAGGAATGAAATGATAGAATGAGAGTGATGCTGAAAGAGAAGGGGGGAAGTGGGGGATGGAGATGCACAGAGGTTCAGGATTGGCAGACCCCTCCGGTGGTCCTGTTGCTAGGAAACACTGTGTGACTTGTTGCCAGGCAACAACAATGAATCTTACATACTGCAGCAGGAGCAGCTGGGAGTGGGCGAGCAGGGATGGGGGAGGAGGTTTCCATGGCAACCAGCCATACTCAAAATGGAAGAACGAGCAAGGTGTGGAATGGGAGAGGAGTGGAAGGTAGAGAAAAAGATAGGTAGAAATATTGTACACTCTAAATATAATTCAGGGGACTTGTTACCACAACTTAATAAATGTATGGTTGCAAGATAAAAACAATTCCTAATTATTGTTTTAATTAAACCTTTTAAGTTGCAAAAAATATTTTGTAGAGTTCTGTTGATATGATAACGTTGATCATTACATCAACTTAATATTATCTGTAATTTAAACTTGAATAATTTCTGCACTAATTATTATTATTTAAATTAGGTTGTAGTAACTTAATGAAATTGTCTTGATAACTTAGGAAAATATGAAAATTGGGGAGGGGATTTCTAGTTCCCATCATGCTTTGCTTTGGACTAAATATATAATTTACTTGTTTTTAGTGAAGAGAAAGACCTGCTAGCGTTAAATGCTGTTATGTTTGACATTTAAAAGAGTTTCTCTAATGTTGAAGTTGTTGTGGTTACCATTGTGCTGAAGAGTAGATACATAAAGGTAAAAACATTGAATCTAAGCAATGATTTCTATTATGCCAGTGACAAGTAATACCTTGCTTTTCAACTGAAATAGATAAGATTAATTGGTCCCAGGGTTATAGCTCTGGAAGTTGAAGCAAATTAAATATTTGAGGAATCAACTTTAAAATTTGTGTTTATACTTAAGTTCCTCAAGTAACTCAATGTAGCTTGCTGGTTGAAGATTAATTCACTCAAAGATAAATAAAAAAAAAAAATGAAAATATTATTTTTTTAGAATGTAGGAAAGTTGTAATTTACTTTACTTTCTATTACTTTTATGCTGAATGAATGAATAACTTTCTAAAAACTTGGCAAATGTTTTTTTTTTTTTTACTTTTATTTCTTTAAATCAGGAAGACTTACTTGTCATTGACCTTTACACCAAAGAGAGAAATGCAATAAAAGTTTGTTTTAAACTGTGTTCACACTATGTTGATCTTCTCTTTGGTCTCATGAGAATGAGAACTAGTCTGCTCAGTTGACCTGCTTTGACATGAAACTTAACAAGCAGACACACTCATGCACTGATATTACTGCCATATTGAAAGCCACAGGGATATTGAGTGAGGTGTGACTAACACATGAACACATGAGTTACTCTCTCACCAGAGATCTGACCACTCTGCAAGTAAATGCTACCACTCTAAACCACAATTTCTGACCTTCTCAGCCAAATGTGATCCGTCAAGCTCAGGGGGCGGCATACGATGTGCATGTGAACGCTCTCTCATTGAC